CCTGGCGAATAGAACATTCTAGTCGTCGCCGATCGAAGAACAAACAGAACAAAACCGGAAGCCGGGAAGAAACGGAGTAGGTATCAAGCACAGTTCCAACGAGAATGTCGACTAATATTTTTGTTTTCTGTGTCAAAAAGTGTTTGAGACTAAGGAAGGTGCTTTTGAACGAGATACACCACAGAAAACTCAAAAACTAGCCCACTCTTAGAAGTCTGGGAGCACTGGTAGAACTCAAGCGTAGTTTTACGCCTTTCTTCAAGCGTAGTAGAACTACGCTCGGCTTCAAGCATAGTTCTCCATTTTGCCCCTCTCCCGCCTATCTAAATGCATGGGAGACTTTCTTCTCTACGCTTGACGTCAAGCGTAAAGTCTTCAAGCGTAGTTGTAGGCTTGACTCAAGCATACAACTACGCTTCAGTTTTACCGGTGAGGCTATGCCGGGGCCAGTTCTCTACATCTAAGAGCGCACATGGTATGCCAGCATGCCTGGAGCATGCCAGCAAGCACGCTCTAGCTACCACATGCCTGCCAAGCATGCACTTACTACTGCATGTACACGCTTACTGAAGCCTGCATCTAGTGTACGTATAAGTGACACTGAGAAAACCTTACAAACTATTTTGGGCCTTACAAAGAAAAGTAGTTTGTATAACAAAGTATTTTGAGCATACATAAGCTTACAAAGAAAATACTTCGTAATTTACGATCTATTTCTTCGTATAACAAAGTATTTTAGTTTGTTATACAGTCTTCATCGGCAAAGAGTCGACGGGTCGGGACCGGATTTCGACTCTTTGCCGACACGAAAACCGAACGGCACATGGTGGTAGACAAAAGCTCCGGTAGTGCTCCGAGCTCGGGAGGGCCATAAAACTATTGTGGCCCGAGCTCGCCCCCGCCGCGTAAGCGGGGACCGTCGCACGAAGTCGACTCTTTGCCGGTCGACTCTTTGCCGATGAAGACTGTACGTATGCTCAAAATACTTCGTAAGGTTTTAAGAGTGGAGTTGCCTGCATCAGGAAGCGTGTACCTAGCATGTATGCACTAATTGTTAGTGCTTGCAGGCAGAGCATACAATGTACGCTTTTGAATTTGTAGAGTAGGAGTGTACTTGTGAGTACACCCTGAAGAGAGTGTAATGAGTACTCTCTTGAATTTGCAGAGTACGTGCAGGCGTTTTTCGGCTTAGCTTTATCTGAGTGTAGGCTCGGCGCGTACAATGTGTGCTACAAGTGGCAGCACTGTAAAAAAATTTTATAGTCGAATTCCTATACATGTATATGAAGCTATTTACATATACACGTATAGGAATTTTACCATGCACTCGTATGGTAATTTTCCTATACATCGGTACGGCATTATGACTATACGTGTATAGGCGTTCTACCATCCGTTGTGTAGGATTTTTCCTTTACATCGAAATTGCGCATCTGCCATGCATGTATAGGATTTCCACCAAAATGGGTAAATTAGGCAGGCCAAACCGGGTGAACTGTCAGATATTCAATAGAACGGCTGCATTTTCCGCCATATCGAGCATAGATTATGCGGGATATTTCATCCCGGTCTTCCACATTGGCAAAGTTCGACTCCACCAATTGAACACCCAAGGTGAAAGGAGGTGAAAGGTACACCTCATCAAAAATGATGTAAGAGTTGAAATGACTTCAACTGCCTTACAATATGATGGGACGCGAGCCCCCTGGCCCAACCTAATTCCTAGCCGCAGCGTGCACCACCGAGAAGTAAGTCCGTCAAAACGACACTAGCGCCATCTAGCGGATAATACGGACAGCGGGCAATCAAGCAGCTTTTGTTAATTTTGTACGTTGTTAACAAATAATCGTATTGATCACCAGTGTTCAATCAAATTACAACTATTTGAATCGCTGTTAATAAGGTTGATGGAAAATTCTGTTTTTCAGTTGGCCATTTTCCCTATACACGGGCTGCAAAACCTATACATGTATAGGAATTACTCAAATTCCGATACATGTTTAGGAATTTTCCCCATACATTTACAGCCCGTATAGCAAAAACCTATACAAATCGGAATATTCCTATACATGTTTCGGAATTTCAGTAATTCCTATACATGTATAGGAATTTTCCTAGACTACTGTATAGTAAAATTCCGAACATTTTTTACAGTGAGATCCCTTGCATTCGAAACAAAACATCAACGCCGCACTGCAAATCCAAGTGTGAGACAGCCCGGGTGGAAGGATTTTTAGTTAAACTGTAGTTTCAACTACAGTACCAAAACTGCAGTTCCCGAACTAAAGTTATTTTTAAAAAAGAAACTGAAGACTAAATAAAATTTCCACTTTGCAGTTGAAATTGTAGTTTTCTGTCAGTGTACAATGTGTTTTAGTGTTGATTTGAAGTTCAGTTGGAGGTTCGGTTTAAGTTTTAGTTACAATTTACTTAATATCCTTTCTGGAAGTAAAGCGACTGCTGAAAATAAATATTCAAAAACTGTCTCTCATCGTATGTTTCCGTACTTAGTATGTATTTTAAACATATTCTCTTATCGACATACTAACGTTGATAGTTATGTCTCAAAACTAGTACGTTTCCATACTATTTAGTGCGAACCACTATTTCTCACTATTAATTGTGAGACACGGTTTGTCCCGCACTATGGCTCCCAGTATGGCTCCCAGTGGTCTAATGCTACAGAACCCACGCTTGCAAGTGCGGGGACAAACGGAGTCTCACACTTGCAAGCGTGAGACAAACGTGGCTCACACTTTAAAGCGTGAGACATAGTGGTTCGCACTAAATAGTGTGAGACTGTCTCACACTTGGGTTGGTAGTGCGAAATCAAAGAGACAAACATCACGTCCCACCGCGAGAAACTCCCCCACCGATGCCACTGCGCCGCGAAACTGAGCAAGAGCGAATCCGCGGCACGCAGCGGATGCATCGACCGGGGTCCATGATTGGCATCCGTAATGGTTCGCGTGATCAAATGTTAACCGCCACCTCGCCTCGCTCCACAACAACTTCCCTTGCCGAGGTGGTTACACTAAACGAAAGTGGAGCGGCGATTCGGCCGCATTCGACTCGTGGCAATCGGAGTCTCTTTCGACTTTAACAATGGCGGCAGTGTATCCTACAAAGCCTCAAGCTTCTCTTCTACTTCACTGGTTTTCGGACAAAGGTACTCAAGTCCACATTTTGGTCAACATGGTTTTATTGTTTTCTCAGACTGCTGGCGAGATTTTACATATAATGGTGAAAAACCTACGATTTTAAGATAATTAGTTCGGAAGATATAGCGTTGTACACTCTACAAAAAATGTCCTGTCAACGCCGTTAATTTTTCCCAAATGTTTGCTTTATTCAATCACGGCGTTTGCTGTGAACTAGTTCAGGGCGTTCACTGGATCTGGGTTTACAGTGTTCACTGTGATCTGGCCACAGTAAACGCCGTGAATTGGAGCCTGATTTGCAGTACTTCGGTGCTCAGCGGCGTCAAACTCACAGTGTTTTTGGGGACCAGATCACAGTGAACACCGCGACCAAGATCCAGTGAATCCCGTGAGCAGATCACAGTAAACGCTGTGAATTGGCCTACAGTGAAAACTGGTAATAAATTAACGGCATTTACAGGACATTTTTGGTAGAGTGTACCAAACAACTTAAGTCCTCATTTTCTGACAAAACAACTCCAGTCCACTCCTTTTCTGACAAAACAGCACAAGTCCATCCGTTTTCTGACAAAAGCACCTCAGGCGCGGATCCCCGGGGGGTGGGGGTGCCCATACTTTAAACCGCTATATCTCCTACACTGCAAACCTAACTGTCTACTAAGTACACACTTACAAATGCATGCTTGCAAGTACACACTTACAAACGCATGCTTGGCCAAGTACACACTTACAAATGCATGCTTGCAAGTACGCACTTACAAACGCATGCTTGACGCATGGAGTTATACAGCGTCAAGCGTGCGTTGTAAGTGTGTACTTGCAAGCATCTTTTTCCACAAGATAAGATCACCCCCACACACCAAGAAGGCAGAGAACGTCAAACAATGCTTTTAAAGAATAATTGGCAAAATTTGCATACTTTGAACCGCTATATCTCCTAAACAGTTTGACATAAAAGTCTGCGCGTGGTCTCATTCGATTCATCGCGTTATTTTCTACAAGATAACATTATCAGGAATTTTTGTCCACATAATTTTCCCAGAAACCCCAAGAAAAAATTGTTTTTAGGTGTTTTTAGGGTGTTTTGGGAGGTTTACTCTACAGGTATTTGTCGGAGGTCAAATCTGAGGTCATATTCTTGTTCCTTGGCCAATTTTACATGAGGTGACCAAATTTTAGCCCTCTACTATGAAAAGTGTAAAATTGGTCCAAAATACCCAAATTCGTGTTTTTTTCCAAAAGTTAAACTAAAGTTGGCTATATCTCGGGCAATAAATTTTTGCCGGGCCTAATATTTTGGCTTTAGACTCTCCTTTAGTTAGTTACTAAGCCTACTAAAAATCAGGCAAATCGGAGAGGGTCGCTGGAAGAAGTGGTCCGTCTAAGTTGAGTTTGCTCTCTGTAAAAAGGAGTAAATATTCAAAATATTCCGAAGGTGATGTACTATCAGTTGTGGTATCGCCAACAAAGGGCCTTAGAGACAATCTTGCCTTCGATCATGCGGTAAGTTTTCCCGAAATTTCCAAGTATGACCAAAATTTGACAATGAACTTTGAACAGATCTAGAGAACAAGGTCATTGTTTATTGCCAAATTTTGGAAGATACCATTTAAATGTCGTCTGGATACATTTGTTAGAGGTTGCACGAGCCAAAGTGAACCTCACTTTACGGTAACCGTAAATAAATATAAAAAGTCGCGCTGAGTTTGTAATGCTGCGAAGCAACTTTCGCCCGCTTGCAATCTCTTAACATCGTGTTCTTCGGGTGACCCTGATGCATGCCTCCGATTCTGAAAACCCCCAAACCAATTCAAGGCCAATGAATAAATAATCAGACCATTCACAAAAATATATAAATTTATTCTGAATATTTCTCAACGACCCAACAGCACGAAACGAAATGCACAAAGCTACATATATAAAACTAACAACTTAAAAACGTTAAATAAAAACAATTTTAAATCTTAAAATAGACAAACAATTGTGTTGTGATACACAAGAAGGGCATGCCTTATCACATGTAGTTACTGATAAATGATTCTACAGTATGATGGAGTTCATTTAAAATACTTTGATGAAAATCCAAACAACCATGTACACTCGCTACGGGACACATTTCATAACTAACGCACTCTTAAATTTTTGTACTTTTGAACATTCAGGAAAGTAGCGAGCGCTGGGGCATAAATTAGAACACAGGCTGGATCATGATTCCATACGGCCATTAAACCTGATAGCAGTTCACAGAACAGCCGGCCCCCCTGGCGTGTGAAGCGAACTTACGAAAGCCACCAGAATAGAGATCGCTGTGACATCCCCATGAGCACCACCCACATTTGCAAAGGCACCACGAACAGTCGCAGTCTTTGGGGTCACCTCCATGAAGCGAGAATTGGACACAGAGGTGCAGGCTGGAATTCCTCCTGAGAAGATCCTGAATTCCAGGTTCGTGGAGCCAGGCGTGGCGGCACCGGTCTGAGGGGGCGAGGACCGTCAGTCTCGTCAGGTGGGGCGCAGAAGTGGGACTGATAGCCCGCAACAGGTCGGCCGAGGGCTCTGCGAACATTTGGAGCTCTGCCAAGGAAGGGAATCGGGGCAGGACGGCGGCAAGAGACGTGAGGAGAGGTGCATCATCATCGACGCACGCGCCGCGGAAGCTGAGGCTGGTCAGGACGCCGGCAGAGCGGGACTCGCTTAGAGCCACCAGCGCGGCGGTGTCGTCGTCCGGAAGGCGGGCAGTCCGCAACTGTGACGACTGGCGCAGGAAGTCCAACGCACCAGGCGGAGCGAGGTCTCCACCATCGCAGGACCAAAAGTCAACGGAGACGAGGTCGGGCAGAGACAGCAGCTGGGGCATACCTTCGTTCAGGCTGCACGTCAGTTGGCGCAGGCCGCGTATCCCTGCCAGCAGCGACATCGGGACGACGACTTCGAATGGGAAGTCAACATACACATGTTCAAGAGTGGAGGCATGTGTCGCGACCAACTGCAGGAAGAAAGGGTCCAAGGTGTCCGCGGGAATGGCGGGTGCGTGGGTCTTTCTGACATACTCGAGCCTCGTCAAATGAGAACGCACTTTGACGTTGTTACAGGCAGCCGGCAACGGTGCTCCAGCCTCAATCACTAGCTCTTGCAGATTGTCCAAACTGTAGACAACCTCAATGATCGACGCAGTACGAGTGGTACACCCGGTGTGCAAGTACAGGATCCTAACACCGCCGACGGCGGCAAGCTGACGAATGACGTCCTCGGCCAAGGGCACGTCTTCCTGCTCTACCAATGTCAACCGAAGGTCATCGACGACGCACGCGGTGCCCGCCACAGCTGCAGCCACCTCCTTCATGGGCAGCCCGTCCCCGAGACAGCCGACGAAACCGGCGAGGCAAGGCGCGAGGCTGAGCGCGGCGCGCACCAGGCTCTGCGGCAGCCACACGTACCGCCACAGGTCGGGATGCAGGCACAGGCTCCTGAAGCGCCGACACACTTGCCGGCAGACGAAGAGCTCCCGGAGGGGCAGGTAGGCCAGCACCCTCAGCAGCGCGTCGTCTGGCAGGCCCAGCAGCTGTCGGCAAAGACTCCCAGCGCGTTACACTCTCACACTGCAAATCCAAGCACTCTCATAGCCGCTCTCAGCATTCAATCAACATTGTATCAGTGTGCATTGACGTCTGAGCGCATGAGAAGAGTTTTGTGACACACCAAACACCAAATTCGAGGGGTCTTATTCAAAAGATCTTATCTGGGCATTCCCCCCAAGAGAATCTTATCTTAAACGCAGGCAAATTTCACTCTTTTTGATCATTTGGGATAAGTATGACAGTAAGCGGCATATATTTCTAGATGCACGTTTGGTTTCTTTGATCTTCCATCTTCAGATTAACGTGAACTAAATCACAAATTATATTGATATGTAGCTGTATCAAATGATCAAAGTAAGGCTGTATCAAGTTAAGGAAAATCAACACATCAACAGATCAACACTTCAACAGATCAACGGACCGGGACGGTTTGGGGATGGCACAATAGGTCTAAAACCAAGAAATATGTTGAAGAAATTGAGTACTTATAAGTCATCTTATAGGTCATCCTAAAGGTCATCCTAAGACATTTGATTCAATATCAATAGTTTTTACTCCCCGAACCGCCCCGAACCGCCTTGATCCGTTGATCTGTTGGTTTTCCTTAACTTGATACAGCCTAAGTGAAATTTGCCTGCACTTAAGATAAGATTCTCTTGGGTGGAACGCCCAGATAAGATCTTTTGAATAGGCCTTTTTAGTCCGATGAATGATGCAATTTTAAGCACATCCGACGGTGGTACAACTTTGAGTAAGCAAGGCGGGACAGTCTGTCTAATGAAAGTACAATTTGCAGCAGTCGTCGCACAAAATGTGTCGCCAGGCGAGCACAAAATTGTATCACGCTCGGATGCGCTTAAAATTGCTCCATTGGCAATAAGTGAGTAAATGACAATGAACTTTCTTGTGCATGAGCTTTGCACAAAATTGAGCATGGCGTTTCAATCTGCTCGGATTTTATGCACATCAACGCATACTTTCGTGCTGAGTTACGCGCAAATTCGTGCTTTTCCAAACACACGCCCAATTTCGTGCGAAGCATATTCACTAAAAATTAAATTGGTAACTAAAAAAGTAAATTAGTGTATGTATTTGAACAATTTTGTACGTGGTGTCACAAAATTTAAAACATGCGAACTTTTTCTCAAAAATTTGTGCTTAGAATAGCACAAATTCGTGTGAAAACGCGCGCAAATTTGCACGAAAAGCACGTACACTAATTGAAACAATGAAACGAATGTTGTCGCCACATGCGAACACTTCTTTCTGAAAGGCGATGCTTGACAAAGTCGGGTATAAGCCGTTGACCGAAGGTAGATGTGCGCCAGGCGTGGATTGCCATCATTAGCGCAACATCGCGAAGCCGAAGCCTGTTACACACTAGATTACGGTGTAGTTTTTTGGGCATGAGCTTTGTACGAAAGTGTGCATGCACGGAATGCACGAATTTCATGCACAACGCACACTCGCGTGCGCAGTTGAGCACAAAGTCGTGCACGTTGAAGCGCATGCACAGTTCTGTGCAAAGTGTATGCACAAAAAACTACGAAACTGTACGACAAGACACGGTCTGGCGCAAACCTACCTTTACTCTTAAAAGATTGCAAAGACAAGTTTCTTGGCAGTGTGAAAGAACTTCCGGCTTTCTATTATGAACACCTTGACGAACTTGTTTTTCGCATTACGAAGAAATAGTTTGAATGTTGCGAAGAAAGAAGTTCGTAAGGTTGCGAAGCATTGATTTGTAACGTTGCAGAGAATTTTCTTTGAAAAATATTACTTTGCAATGTAAAGAAATGTTTGCATGAGCTCGAGTTTGTAATTCAATGCCGGACAATACTTTGCAAGAATTTTTGAGTGTCGCTTTCAGTCAACTTTTATGAACATAAATAACCATCACCCCGTCTCGAGCTCGAAAACTGTTTGGTTACGATGCTATTTCACAAACTAACTCTAGACATAGCACTCTACATGTCTTACGAGGAAATTTCTCATGGTGCGAAGGAAATTGCGCAAGCATAATACAAAGGTGCCTTTTCTTCTGGTTACGCAGGTTTCTCTTTATATCTTACAATGATAATACTAAAACGATTCTTATAGTGATGGACTATTGACTCGTAATAGGCTTGCGCCGAATTCACTGTACAGGCTCAAATTTCATTGACAGGCGTATCCAATATAAAATGTCGAAAGTTACTACGACCGTGCCTTTCAAAGCCGTTTTTAAAAGGCAATACCCGAGGCAAATGAAGAAGAAAAGCACGAAGTTTAGACGATGTATAAGTTCAAAATCGTCACAATGCCGTACGTTGGGAATCTTGCTTCTTGAGTGAACCCGGGCGAAGTTCTAAAACCAGTCATGACCAACATCTCCAGGTGAAACTAAGATGTAACTCACCGTGACTCGATCCATTCTGTCGATAGACGACTCTCGTAGAAGCTCCGAGCACAAGGGGAAAGCTGCAAGTTGGGTCGGGCCCGGTCCACAAGCAGGCACTCGCGCAATTGCAAATTCTTCAAAATGGCAAGCTAAAAGAGAAGAAGAAAAGTAACTTAGTGAGCAGAGCGGTTGTGTCTTGAAACGGTGCGGGGGGCTGGAAGATAGAACACCGCGGCTTAATATTTTTGGACAATAGGGTACTTCGGTCGGAAAGAGCTGGGTCGGAAGGAGAGAAGAAATCAAGTGGAACAAAAGGTGGACGTGAGAACTTAGGTCTTCAGAAGCGGCAGAGCCGCGACGCAGGCGCTCATCCTCACCAATTTATCACGCTTTGTTCTTCTTGATTTCCATTTAACTTCCGTTCCCGCTCTTCTCTGAAGTACTCTGTTCTGTTTATGATCGTGGTCTCACGAAAGTGAGGGAATGCTGCTCCTCTTAGCTCAAATATGCGAGGAATTACGAAGGAATTTGAACGGATTAAAAAGAGTTTGAACAAAATGATGGATGGCCAGGTTAAAATTTGAGCATTTTCATGAACAGAAGATCGGAAATCAAATCTTGCCTAAAGAACTTAGAACCAGAACTACAAATCTTAGTACATGAATTGCAGACGAACATAACGTTGGCATGAACACTGGTAAAACTAAAGCGTAACTGTAAGGTTTAGTCAAGCATAAAGTTACGCTTGAAGACGTTCCGCTTGAAATGAAGCATACTCTACGATTTCCCCCATGCATTTAGATAGAGTGAATCTTGGCGGATGAGCCTGTCACGCTTGATTTCAAGCGTGACATGGTTACGCTTAAAACCACAGGGTAATACTACGCTTTAGTTTTACCAGTGAAGTTATGGAGACAATAGAAAACAACATCCGTACCCAGAACACAATTGTGTTCCGTAGCCTTCTTGTCAATCCTCTTGGTAGGGGTTACAGTCTCCTCCGTGCACCTCATTGGTCCTCAAAGAGCACGGCATGCTGAGAACACTGTACACTGCAGAAATAACCACAACAAAAGTACACAAATTTCTGGCAAATTTTTATCAGGAATTTAGTGACTTTTCAAGTACAAAACATTGTTGTACAAAGTACAACGGAACCGGATGACGAGTGCTAGGCAGTCCAGGGCTGGTGTGGTTGTACAATTCTCGTTTACTTTACAATCCTGTTGTACTTTATTGTAACAGTTTTTGTTGTACTTTGTTGTACTATCCACACTTTTTCTTGCAGTTAGACCACGGACACTGATAATAGGCCCGAAAAATGTTAGAGTTGGGGTACGGAGAATCATGGCAAAATAAGAACGACCTCTTTTGTTTTTTTATACGGGGCAATGGTAATTAGAGAATCGCTACGAACTGACGAATCATTCGAAACAGCACCACATGGCCCAAGGGCAGGTTAATGGACTGCGTACGAGAATTAGTGCGGGAGTGCCAACGACCTTAGTAATTGTGATAAGTAGAAACACTCATCGTATGAAGGTGACATTTTTCGCCATTCCGTTTGAAACGCTAGAAGCATCTGCAGGGTGATTCCGCGCGTAGACGTTTTCGTGTCCACATCCCCAGAGCGAACTTATTCGAGTGCAGTCCTATACACTTAAGAATCTTGTTTGGCACTAGAATAGCTTGTTCCCTTTGGATACGGACTTTCAAAAACAGTGACGGGGGAGGGTGCCAAAAGGTCGATTTGTAAGTTCGTCATGTCCATCGCACCTTACAAACTTGCGGCTCTATAACCCGCTTCCATTCAAATCTTCGAATTCCACACCACACCACATCAATTTCTTAACTAATAGTGACTATCTTGCTTGAATTTGAAGATCGTATATTGATTGGAACTGTACTTCAGAACGCGTACTAAATGTCCACCGTCTCCGACTTTTACCTTAGCGGTTCAAAGTAAGCACCAAAAAAACTACTAGGAGTGCTTCCTGCTCAAAACCACCGCCGTATTCAGAATCAGCACGGTCTGTTTACACATGGAATTTCGGTGTGGTGAAAAAGTGACGGGGTGAGTGTGCGAGTGGAAGTTGTGTGTGTAACGTGGGTTGTAACAATTGGTGTAATTCCGTATGCCCCTCTCGCTCCTCGTCTATTGGGTTTTGAAAGACATCCTACACGTGAAAAGATGTGTCTTGACGTCGAACTAGTGGCCAAACTTAGGGCATATTTTGTGGGGATATGCAGTTGCAGTGAGCAGAAACACTGTTTGTAATTTCCGTGAAGCGTAATTTCCGTCATATTTCAGTTAATTTCGTCATATTTTATAGGGGAGAAAACGAAAGTCAACTTTTAGCTCCACGCTCAGAGTGTCTTCCTGGGGTTCAATGATGCCATCTAGGCCAAATTCGGCCGAACAAGCAGATTGATTACTTGACTTTCTTAGGTGGCTAAAACGGCCCCTACGCACGGAATCACCCTGCAACGGACCTTGGGCTTGAAAGCAAGCGTCGAGAAGAAATTCTTCTTTGGACTTAAATAAACGCAAGACGGGTGGAACGGCGTGCGCTTGAAGCTGCTATAAGCGTACCCTAGGAAAAGTGAAGCGTAACTGAAGGCGGTGGAATATGACAGGTGTCACAAAAATTGTGAAAACAAACCAAAATACAGGTCTGCAGCGTCCATTAAGTGTGAAAACTGGGCTCATTGGAAGTGTGTTGGCAATCAAGACCCCCAGAAAATAACTAGACCACGTACTTATCGTTGCAACAGCTGCATAGCACGTGATTTGGAGGTGGAGGTTAAGTCGTCGTCAGCGAGCGACATGAGCTCCTCAGAGAAGAAGGTCTCATTGCCACTTGAGAAGCTGGACCAAATAATGAAGAAACTTGAAAAACTAGAAACCATTGAAAAGGCCTGCCAAGATATGAAAACGAGCCTGGACAAGAGAGTTTCGGAAGTCGAACAAAATGTCCAACAACTAGAAGGATCTTTAAACTATGTGGCAACTCAAGTCGAAGAATCTCAACAATATCTACGAGTAAACAACTTAGTCATCAGTGGAATACCAGAAGAAATAGATTCTTACGATGCAGTCATCGACCTAGCCGACTTCTTAGATGTCAAGATTAGCAAGGTAAACATAGACATTGCTCACAGACTCCCGGCTAGACAAAGCCCAAAGCCCATTCTAGTCAAGTTTACCCACAGATGGGCCAAACAAGGAATCTTAGATGCAAGGTACAAAAAGAAAAGTGTAACCACTGGAGACCTTGAGTACAATGGCCCCGCCACAAATATCTATTTTAATGAACATCTAATTCCAGCTCTCCAAGAACTCCACTACCATGCCAGAAAACTCCAAAAGGAAAAGAAAATATATAAAGTCCAAATTAGAAATGGGAAGATCTTCGCCTTCCCGGACAAAGATGGAGAAAAGCTTCAAATCCGCTGCAATGCTGACCTGGAAAGATTCAATTTAGCAGTGCACTAGGACCCACCGATTCCCCACTAGAATTTTTAATTCCAACCCCAAAGTATGATGAAACATCTCATAAATCTCTACTGAGTGTGAGAACCCTCTGTGATAACCACCTAAATATTTTGTACCTTAATGCCAGGAGTATGGTGAAAAAGATTGAAGAAATAGAAACTATAATCGCTCTCCTGAAAGGAATAGACATAATTCTAGTGACAGAAACTTGGATAAATGAAAGGACTGCACCCATGACAAATATTAATGGGATTCGAAGCCTTACACAACTACAGGACAAATAAAAGAGCGGGAGGAGTCAGCATTTTCATCAGGCATGGTCTGCATTACGAGAAAGAAAAAACATACCAAAGCCAAACTGAAGCTGTCAAAATGACTGTAATAAAAGAGGATGTTCATACTACGCTATTGCTTATTTATAATCCACCAAGTAATAATACGGACACCCTCATAACAGAACTTGCCCCTCTTCTGGAAGATCTCCCAAAAAATAGTCTCGTCATTGGAGATTTCAATATAGATGCCACCAAGGACCTCTCTCCAAACCTCCACCTGTCCACCCTAATGAGTAGTTTTGGGTTCTCCCTCTGTAACCAAAACCCAACCAGGCTCAGCACTACTTGCAATACTCTCCTTGATCATATTTACTCTAATAATATGGCAATCGAGATTCTAGTGGACAACATTCAAAATGACCTGAGCGACCACAACTTCCTTCTTGTATCAACAACCAACTCCAGGTCCTCTGCTCGCATTTCCTCGCCAAAAACTTGGAAATCAATTAATTCAACCAAGCTCAACAAATATTTATCCACAAATAAATTCCCACTGCACGAAAATTGTAATGCTGAAGAGCTATACCAAGCCTTCGTAAAATATATAAACGTGGGAATAGAGGAGTGCTCAACAGTTAAGAGACAAAGTGATATGGAAACTCAAGACAACCCTGCCCCTTGGATTGACGAAGAATATCTAAACCTAGTCAGAAGGAAAGAAACTCTTTACAAACAAAAAAAGAAGCACCCTCTAAACAGCATTATCCAGGCGGACTATAAATTAATCAGAAATGCGGTAACGGCAATGAGAAGAAAGAAAAAAAATGACTTATACTCAAAGATACACGAAAATCCTCAAGACCAACAAAAAAATATCTGGAAAGTCGCAAATCAAGTACTCTATAATAAATCCGAACCGAATAGCCAAATCTTCAAACTCACGAGGGATGGCTGCCCCGTTAGTGAAGAGGACATCCCTGACATCTTCGCTAACTACTTCAGTGGGGCAGTGGACGACCTACTTGAGAAGGACTTAGCCAACCAGTGCAGTGAAGAAGAAGTCGATAATTACATCAATGGCCTACCCAAAGCAAGCAAAAAATTCATGCTCTCTCCAACCACCAACGAAGAAATAAGCAAATACATTGACCGGCTAAAAAATAAATCCAACGCCACCTTTGATAACATCACAAACAGGCTGCTAAAAAAAAATAAAAACAAACATTAGCCCCATCATATCCAGGATAATCAACAAATGCTTCCAAGAAGGAATCGTCCCCAGACAAATGAAGATATCCAGAGTGTTTCCGGTATTTAAGAAAGGGTCCAAAACCTTATGCTCAAATTACCGCCCCATATCTATCCTCCCAGCCATTTCCAAAATTATGGAAATGGCAGTTAGGGAAAGGGTGACCCTCTTTTTGGACCAAAGCGACTTCTTTATACCCCAGCAATACGGCTTCAGACAAAAAACAAATACCCAGATCGCTGCCATGGATATCACCATTAAAATACAAGACACCCTTGATAAGAACAAAACTGCTGGCGGCCTATTCATCGACCTTGCAAAAGCCTTTGACACTGTTAACCATCGCCTACTTATAAGAAAACTACAAGCAGCCGGATCCGATGAGAGTGTCCTCAAGTGGTTTCGCAGCTACTTAGAAGGCAGAATCCAATATGTTGAAGTAAATGGAGAAAGAAGTCCCCCTTGCAATATTAAACATGGAGTGTTTCAAGGATCAATCCTCGGACCATTACTTTTCATAATATTCATAAACGATATCTCAACCCTAAAACTCCATGGTGACCCATCTCTCTTCGCT